CAGTTAAATTCACTCTATCTAGGAGGCACAATTTATAGGAATAGTATTTATTTTTTACAATAACCTGGAATGAAAACAAGCAATAATGAAATAAAAGTAATGACTTTCTACTTTTAAAAAATGTAAGCAGTAGAAAGTACAGATAACTGTGTGAAAATGTAAGAAGTAGAAGTAAAAAGTAGGCTGAAAGATAATTTCTCAAGTAAAGTACAGATACCCAAAAATTCTACTTAAATACGAAGTATTTGTACTTAGTTACTTTACAACTCATTTCATATCAGAAACTGATACTTAAGTATAGTAAATATCAGATACTTTAAGACTTTTACTCAAGTAATACTCATAGAGGAGACTTTAACTTTTACCAAAGTAATTTTATGATAAGATACTTGTACTCAGGTATCACTTTGAGCTACTTTATACAACACTTGGTCTGAGACCCATCTTGTTTGCCCTGGTGATGGACAGACTAACAGATGAGGACAGGCAGGAATCCTCTTGGACAAAGATGTTTGTAGAGGACATTGGGATCTGTGGTGAGAACAGGGAACAGGTGGAAGAGAGCTCAAAGATGTGGGTCTGCACTTGAAAGAAGATGAATGAAAGTCAGCTGTAACAACAAGTCCGGGTGAGTGAAMAAGAGGGAGGCAGGTGGAACAGTGGAGACAGAGTCATGGAAAAAATGGATGTATCGAGCTGAAGATGTTGAAGTTCTTCTTGGGAGAGACAAGRATGGATCTTCACTTGAACTTTRGTTTTATGGTTCTTTGATTGCTCTGGTCCATCTCTGTTCTTCAGGGGAGTGTACGGTGATGGGCATTCCCAGTGTGACCACCAACCTGTCAGGTTTTGGCTGTTTTATGGAGGAGCACGTTTCAGACCCTGCGGCCTATGGTGCGTACACGCTCACACAAACACACTGAAGCTTAACGTTCATAGCTTCACACGTTTGTCCTCCCGCCCCTGCTCTCTGTAGGTATCTACATTGTAGACCGGCGGTTCCGGTCCGCTGAGGAATCCTGTAACCAGCTGACCCAGTTCATGTTCAGTTTCTGCCAGCAGTCTCGGCGCCAGCGCATCATCCAACGGAACCGAACTGAGAGGCTTTCGGACCTACTGGACTGGAGATACCTGGGACGGGTCAGTTCCTGCTCCTCTGTTTGGGAGAAGGGGACCTGGTGAYGAGTTTGGCCTCTCTTACCATGGTGACCAGTCTGAAAACTTTTCGGCACAGACAAAATTACTAGCATTTATCAGCGTGTTTAGTTTTTCAGTTTCGTTACATCCACATAAGACTRCGTAACATAATTTACAGTGTTTGAGTAAAAAGGCTAACTACATATTTTCTTATCATAGGATAATCTTATTTAAACTTTTAAAATAAAAGGCAGGAGTTGTTGTGTTCCTGAGTCTTAATCGTGACCAGCTTGTGTATAAAAATACTCTGAACAGGTTTTTGAAAATCTTTCACCTGGTTAGACTGAACAAAAACCGATGCTTGACCGACTTCTCATGTATAAATAAAGTCCTGAACATGTTGGTTAAAGAATATTAGACTTTAAAGTACCTGTGACATGCCTGTCCTTTAAACACAAAAGGTCAAAGAAGACATCTTTAAATTAAGAAAATTGTCATAATACACGATTTTACCCATTTTGTCACATAAGTGGTCTATTTTCTTTTGAATTTGTCTCAGCCAAAGTGAAACAGGAAGTGACATCAAAGGGGAACTCATTAATAAAATAAGCTCTCTGGTTTTTTTAAAAATTAAAACAGTATGATTTAAACTTTAACTCTTCTTCATCTCTCTTTGATAGTGACTCAAAATAATCTAAACATCAGATTCTTCTCTACAGTCTGTGTTGTTAGCTGTTTTAACATGCTCTGTTCGCATGCAGACATTCCCCTTTGACATCACTTCCTGTTTCTTCACATGCAAATATCTCAACAATTGTTCATCTCAGTGGGGTGAAATTTGTTTTGCAATATGTTAATAATGTTGTCTTTTCAAAAATGCATTCATGTTTATTACAAAAACTGAGTGACACAGGCACTTTAAAGTTTAAAAACAAAGAAGTTWTCAGTACTGTGGTATATTCAGGTAAATATTGATGTTTTTACTGATTATTGTTCTGAATTGTGTTTGACAGTTCTATATCTATGCTCGCCATCTGGCCCTCAGCAGAACGTTTCCAGACAAGTTCCAGATGGATCCCAAAGCTCCCGTGAAGGTGAGAAAAATGGCCTTTATGGTTCCTATTTTAGAAAACCATCATAATCAGGTACTTTACAAGAAAAAAAGAAAAGACCAATCAGAAAGGAAGAATAAAGATGGGAAATTTAAAATAATAAGATCAAAGTGGGACGCTGATAGAAGAAGGAAAAAAGTAAAATGGTTAAAGAAGCAATAAGATGATTATTTTGGTCAGGGCTGTTCAAATGAATTGCTCAGGGGGCCACAGTTACTCAAAGCCAACAGCTCAGGAGCTGGMCATCTGATATGGGGAAAACACTATTATGTAAAAGAACATGTTACGAATTGGTAAAAATGAACCCAGGTTGCAGGCGGCTTCAAAAAGGAAAAAAAATAAAGATTTATTAAACAAAAATTGCTGACAGGGCAGCTCAAAAACTCACTTGGTGTAGCTAGGCAAGGCAACAAACATACAGGCTGTGAACAGCACAGTGATCAGACAGGGAAGTGAAGACAAGACACAGAATATAAAGGTGAGACTAACGAGCACAAACAGGAAACACCTGGGAGAGAAACATGAGGAGCAGGTGATAGTGGGCGGGGCTGGAGCAAAGGCAAACAGGAGGAAGAAAACAGATGACGAGACAGAAACTAAAATAAAAAAATTAACACAGACAACAATCATAACAGAACAAGTTATTTTTTCCTTTTTAAATTTGTTTATTTTGTTGCATTGAACCATAAATGTAAAATTTACAATTAATTTAAAATCCTTTTTTATGTTACAAATAAAAAAAGGTGGGGAAAAAAATTATAATTTTGCAGCCCGGGTGKAAGTCACCCACTGTCCAAATGTGGCTAGTGAGCCATCAGTTGAATAGCACTGATTTAGGAGTTAATAGTAGATTTAAACAATTCAAACCACCTTCTGTTCACAGACAGAAGGTTTCCGGTACCCCCGGCCCTCCTCGGTGCCCCCCTCTCCCTCCGCATCGGTCCACTCCACCCCCCACCACAGTGATGTGGAGGACGAGGATGATGATGAGCCCTACGATGAAGACGATGAGGCGGAGAGGGATCGGCTGAACATCAAGAGTCCTTTTGTTCTGGGGGGCATGTCGGAGGGCAAGAAGAAACAGCCTGGAGAGTCAGGACTCTGAACCATTTTTACTGACTGCACACCCTCTACTCTTCCCGCAATAAATCCACTTCTCTTTGCTCCAAAACAAAAAGCATTTTATAAAAGTTCATAGATCTGATAGACCAGAGCAGCTCCACATGATAAACTGTTTTATTTAGTTTGGGTCAGTTTACACTCTGCTTTCATCCAACATTAGAAATATTAATCAGCACAAAGATTCATTAGTACTTTTTTCTAAAAAATATTTAGTAGATTTTCTGCCACAAGCTTCGTTTTTAGTATGTGTAGATTTTTTTTTCCAGCTGTTAAATAGAAATGACATGTTTCTGTTTGACTTTACATTCTGAAAGATGGTTAAAAAATATTCAGGATGTCCTTCAATTATTCACTTTGTTTATTCATTCACAAGTTTTATGAAACTTTGCCAGATTTCTGCGTAAATGAGCAAAAGACGATGTGACTCATCTTTAGAAATAATAATCCCGTCTTCTAAATATTAGAAATTCCATTGAAACCAATGTCAAAATGTAAACCAAAGTTCAATTCTGGTCAACAAAATTAGTCTAAAACTTTGACATGAAAGACTTTTAATATAATGGAAATCATTTCATCTTTATTTAAAAAATATATGTTGAAATGGCTCGGGGAAAAATTAAGACCATGTTAGACTTGAAGAGCTACAATTTCAAATTTTATTAAAATACAGGGTGAGAGGATTCCTATTTACAGCAAACAGACAGAAGGGACAGCTTTTTAAACTTTATCAGAAGTATTCTCTCTTCCACACCGGCAGCTCCTGGAAAATAACTTCATCTGGGTTCTCATCTGCTGGAGGACAGAGATAAAGTCAACATTAAAGCCTGATTTTAACGACAGGAAGGGGAGAAAAAGAGCAAAGAGGACAGATTCTTGAATTGTCCTATCAGCAAAGCTTAAACACATGGTTCTCAAATTGTCATGCCAGTACCATTACCAGTGTAGTACCAATGTGGTAGAACTCAAAAAACTTTAACACGTTAAATCAGAAGCTAATTAACCATCACAAGCTGTGATGGAAAGCAGTAAAGAGATTGATTTTGAGCCCAAATGGAAACTACTAAACAAAAGTAAAGACCCTGTCACACTAGACAACCTATGCCAACATATGAACATTTTAAGGAAGTCTACATTGAAGATGGAATTTAAAAAAATCATCAGGAAGCTTCTTTTCAGAGTGTACATAATGTATTTCTAACAAATTGATCAAATATGTAACTTATTAGCAATTTAGACATAAAAATGTTTCAGAAGTTGGCATAAGTTGTCTAGTGACAGGGCCTTTAGATTGACTTCCTCTAAATAAAATTTGTCCGTTTCTAAAGTGCTCAGTGAAAACAAAACGCCCCCGTAGTTCAGGCCAGGATGACGTCCAGTTCCGCCAGAAACAAACAAATGGTGCGCTAAAAATATAAAGCTTGTTTTTGCTTTAACCATTAAAAAAACAAACCAAAAATTGA